TTAGACAAGTATTTTTGGATTTAATATCCATACCAATAGCATAGAACTCCAATCTTTTCTTCATTATTGACACTTGGCCAGCAAATGGACCCTTAGGACAGTTTATTCTGTATTATGAAGTGATTTATAAATCAATAACCAGTCCCAATGAATAAAGAATCGCTTGTGATAAGCGCTACTGATACGATGCAACGCCAATTACTTCTAATTAGGTTTGCCTTGCCAACCTTAAGCTCTTTCCATCAAGTTAATTCTTAACGCACGCATGTAATGCGCACATTTAGCTGACGAAATCCAGATGTTGCAAATACTTGGGGCTAACACCACATTAAGTGAGGATGACCCACCTGCAAAGTGCGAAGGGCATCAGCCATCTCGGCCGAGAGTTTGGGCATTTCGGAGCCACGCTCATCGAAAACAAAGCAAGAGAGAAGGGAAGCGACCTGCTCAGCCGACAGACGATTAAAGGTGCCCTCAAAGAGGAGTTCTGTGAGTACCAACTCATCTGCTGATGTGATCTCACAGGCCACTCGACCCTTCAGTTCAATGACGTCATGCTCGTTGCAAAAACCCAGTCGCCGAAGGACTCGTTTCCGACCCACTAAATCATCCATTTGGATGAGGGAGACCTTCTGTGTGAGGCTGCGCTTCACCTCGTCAATGCGACGCCGCTGGGCCTCGCGTCGCTCGTAGGCACCCAAAAGTTCGGGTAAACGGGGAGATTTATGAAGGTGGTGGGCTTCAAGACGCTGCTCGAAAAGGCGCACCTTCTACACAAAAATGAAGCATCACCAATACCAAAAATGCTGCGCACCTCAAACATTAATGATACAACTCTATGAATGCATCAGGCTGTACAGGATCATATCTCAAAATGCACGAAAATTACTAACCTCAGTGATCTCCTTAAACTTGGCATCAGTGATGTGCATATCCTTCACTGGGTCGAGACTGGGCAAATCGGCAACGCCAAGTTTCGTCTTGACTTTATCTATGGAGGTGTAGAGGAGGCTACGAGCTTCTGGTGACCGCAGATCCTGAGGGACCATCAATCGCACTGCGCTGATACCGCATACGCAGTCCAATCGAACGGGAAGGATTTCGGCCGACTTTGGTGCTGAAGTGGATGGGACGTCATCTACACCATTTGTGTTCTTATTGGTCCGAGTAGCCAGGAGACAATCAAGAACATAGAAAGTCTCCAATGCAGAGACGCAGTCTTTGCGCTGACGCTTCTTCAAATTGATCACCACTCCCCAGCCATAATCATCACCATCCGACTCAATCTAAGGAGGACGTTTGAGAGTCGAGTAACAACCCGCCAGCCTTTTCCAGTAGTACTATTCAAATATTCCTCATCTACGACCATTCGATTCTACCCAGTTTTGCAAGCTAAAAGCATTTTTTTCTTATTCCATGGGCAACCTAAAACTCTT